GTTCCACCATTCTAAAAAAGTTTATCCTAGAGATTTAATGATAGAAAAAGTAATATATTAGCAAACTAATAATTTAATGATAGCTAAAAACCCATATTCAACCCACTTCAAAGCAGTGACCACTTTCTTTTTCGGCTCAGGATGTGTGAACCACATAAGATGGCCTCTACTGCATGTTCTTTCCTCAGATTTTCAGTACTGTATTGTTTCTTCAAAATTCTACTTAGAAAACCTTCCTCCTCCAAAAAACCTTTTCTAGTTTACTCAATCCCATTTGCAGACTATATTGCATCAATAGATGGGCACTGATTTTGTTTTTTGTGATGTATATTCTGATAACTTTTAGATTTTAAATCATTTTGGGAAGTAGGGTGGGGCACATGTGTAAAAAATGTGCACTGTCTCTCTAACCTAGTCAGCCACCAGAAGCTCTGCAGTCTCTTCATAACACTCCTGACCAACCAAAGAATCAACTGCAAATATGTGGGAAACATACCTTTTTGTATCTGTTTTCAAAAAGCCAGCATTTATGAAATAATCAGAACCATAATGGACTAAATTTATGTATTATCAGGACATAGTTTCCTAAATGAATAAAAAATATTCCACTTGATAGAATTTATATTATAAACAGATACCAATTTAAAAATCATAATAGAATCTGGGATGTCTGGGTGGCTCAGTTGGTTAAGCTTCTGACTTTGGCTCAGGTCATGATCTTGTGGTTCATGGGTTTGAGCCCTGTGTCAGGTTCTGTGCTGACAGCTCAGAGTCTGGATCCTGCCTCGGATTTTGTGTCTCCCTCTTGCTCTGCCCCTCCAGTGCTTGTGCACCCTCTCTCTCTCTCTCTCAGAAATAATAAATGAATAAACTTTAAAAAAATATTTAAAAAATCATAATAGAATCTAATACTTGGAATGCTTTATTAAATGAAATTAAGTCTTCTTGACAGTCCAGAAGGTATGAAGTATTCTGTGGAATCTTCACACTTTCATTATGAATATCAATTATTATTGGACCACAGCAGTTGAAATCTCGAGTACAACTCCCATTTAACAGAACGCTCATTTCAACATGCCATATTTAGACAATACTCAAAGAATGTGATCATTTGGTAAAGGGCTGGATTAATAATAGTGTAATAAAGATATTACCTTATATTTGCAAATGTTATTTTCCTCATGTTTTCAAATACAATATTTGATTTGAACTACTGAGAAATTAAGCATTAAAAGCTCCAGGGTATTATGATTTGGTTTATTGTCTCATAAAAACAAATGTTGCTGGGAATTCAGATAATCTGAACAGGACTATCTAACCTACCTTGTGTCTGATATATGCTGCCAAATGAGTTTCAGTACAGCCACCTCCCAACAAAACACTCGGTTCCTTGATTGTTAACTGCAAAACATGCAGTGCTGTTTGACATGTGAGCTAAAAAAGAGATGAATCATCAGAATCAGACATCGACATGAGATACACAAAGAACTATAACCATTTTTCAAGGGAACTTAGATAGTAGACTCAAAGAGCTGGATTTTAATTGCAAAAGAACAAAACTTGTGTTGCCAAGGTTGTAATGTGATGAATACAGTTTGAAACAATAAAGATTAGAGATTAAAGAAAAATACTTGGGGCGCCTGGGTGGCGCAGTCGGTTAAGCGTCCGACTTCAGCCAGGTCACGATCTCACGGTCCGTGAGTTCGAGCCCCACGTCGGGCTCTGGGCTGATGGCTCGGAGCCTGGAGCCTGTTTCCGATTCTGTGTCTCCCTCTCTCTCTGCCCCTCCCCCGTTCATGCTCTGTCTCTGTCTGTCCCATAAATAAATAAAAACGTTGAAAAAAAAAATTAAAGAAAAAATACTTTAGCCAGATGTTTATTTCCATGGGCAGGATTAATATCATCTTTCATATGCACTTAGCTCCTCAAACTGAGATTGACAAATGGATGTCCTCAAAATAACTGGGTCAGTAAGGTTTGCTAGTATTTCTACCAAAAAGATTATTTCAGTCTAAATAAATGAGTTATATACATGCTATAGAATTTATTTCAGGCTGCTATGGAAATAATATAGCTACAACCCAGTAGTAGTAGTAGTAGTAATAATAATAATAATAATAATAAAGAGAGCCCTTTCACATTTACCAAGGACATATCCTTGAGTATATATGAATCAAGTTTGTGACCAATACTCATATAAAAGTTGCATGTGTTATTGCTGGTAGAAAACAACAAACTCTTAAGAGGTGGATGGGTATGGCTGGGGAACTCATTTTCTAAGTGAATTGTTCATACACACTAGCATCAAGGTATACACAATTCAAGTTAATTACTAAGAAAAGTTCACATGTCAAGGACCTTTAGATTGCTTGTAAATACTAGAAATAATAACTGGTAGCACTTGCTAAGTCTACTGTAATATCACAGGCAATTAAATCAGCTTACTTGTGACTTTAATTCTCTCATTTTTGTTGTTGCTTCCTAAATCACCTAGGAAAGTTATGAAAAACAAAATGCATAGCTCAGCTATGTGAAGATAACTATTGTGTCTGTCTGACTATTTAATCCCGGTTTCAGCCCCTAGACAATGGAATTCAAAGTTTGTTACTTACCTTCAGCTCATCCCAGGCAGTGTCATTTCTGTTGCAGAGCAGCAAGCTGCAGATAGTTGCCTCATTAGGAATAAGATGAAGAAAATGTTTGAAGCCAAATTTTTCAGTGCACAAATCTTTTACACTTCCATAACTACTAGGAGAGATTGAGCCTAGGGAACCAATAGGCTGTGTTCCTATTTTTTAAAGTTTAGAAAACACAAAAGGTATGAGTAAAGATGGAACATACAATCATGTACAATGGATTCCTAAAAGCCCCTAAGCATACACTTCGAAACATGAAATGTAGACTAAATAACAAGATGCATTTTCTAAAACCTACAAAATAGGTAGTAGTCTGCTATTAAAATGATATACACTAAAGCAGAGGTTCTTTCACTTTACAGACTTCTTTGAACACCTGTTAGGAGCTATCTTGTACTCTAGAAAAGCACACAAAAATGTGCATCCATTTTCTGGGAGCTTAACAAATTTGCAAGAACCCAGAAAGTAATCCCTGAACAATTACACTTATTTGAATATTCTTTTCTTCTAAAGCCTCAAAGAATAAGGAATACTTGAGTAATCTAAAATTTAGGGATTACCAAAAAATGCCTACGAGATATGTATTTCACTTGGACACAACAAAGAATCTGAGAGAATCTGGCTCTACTGCTTATGTGCCACTGGACACGAAGCAAGTCTCTGATGTCAGAGTCTCTGATGTCTGGGTGGGCCTCCCCATATGACAGTAAGATGGGAACAGTAATGCCTACTTCACAAAACAAATCAGATATTAAATGTTCTGTACTCCATGACAAGCTTCAAACACACCAATGGCCTATGCACAATAACCCCAGATCATTGATAAAGAGGAATTTTGTCTGAAGGGGGAGAAAGGAGGTAATAGGTAATGTTAACCTAGATACATTCAGGAAGGTGGAAAATATAGTTTACCTGAGCCATGGGCTTGGTATAGTTTTTCCCCTTTTTATCTCACAAGGTCTCTGCTCCCAAGATCCAGGACTAAAGCTCTGGCTATTAATACCATATTCTAGCTACATGTGGGATAAATAAGAACTGTGGGCTGGTATAGAAACCCTGTGCCCACAGAAACTATTGTTTCTATAGTAAAATGTTTCATATTTTAAAAACTGACTAAATAACCTGTAATACCCGATATTCACAGCTGGAAAAGTCATGAAAAATCAATAAATATTTAAAGCTATGGGTCTGACCCAGAACATCAGTGAGTTCCATAGAACTATTTCCATTATTTCTTCATAATTTCCACTTTGACAATCATGGGACAGCCTTATAGAGGTAGGGCAATAATCCAGAGATATTAGGTGTTCAATACTGGCATACACACTACTACATTTTGATGAGTTATAATAACACTAAATATCGTGAACTTTAACAATGGCTTAAAATCTGATAAACGTTGCAATTGATCAAAATGATCAATTTTGGTATGTTGTCGATGCAATTAAAGGGATACTGAAAGTGGCTCAAATCACGAACTCTTCACGTTGTCATGTTTCTTTGGCTGTAATAAGTATCAATCTTATGGCTGATTTTAATTTACAAAATACAGTGAATTTCTTGCCTGTTACAATTTTGTATCTTACCAAATATATTAGTTAATTCAACAAATGTCTTAGAACACCTACTGGGGACCAGGCCTGTTGTCAGTGCTAAAAATAAAAGACGATCCTGATTCTTAAGGAGCTCAGCTGGAAATATCAGATATTTAAAGCTAGTGCGTGTACATACCCACCCACCCACTCCTAATTAAGAACTATTTAGGCAGAAGTACAGTAGTGAAGAAGTACAGAAGTGAAGAAAGGGGATCTTTTAGCTGCAAAACTACCTTCAGAATGTAATGTGATTTAAGAGGTTTGTAAAATTCAGTTTTGTGTTAAGTATGAAAGACCTAATGATTATGAGGTGGTTAAACTTCTCAATACTGTAAGATACCTGGGGGGGTTAATAGTTTTACGTCATAACAGATTCTGTTGCCCTTTGGGGGGCAGGAAAATACATAGAAATAGTCATAATCACTCAACTTTCGGTAAGTGAATGTTATAGGATATCCTTTATGAGAAACCTTTGCTGCCAGAAATGTTAACATATGCTATAAAGTTGGCGGCTTCTAAAATTTTTCAAGATGTTCACAGTGACACACACCAAGAATATCTCTGCTCAAAAAAAGTGTGATTTAAGTGTAAGAGGCAAAGGCTGAAGGTGCTTTTTACCTGTCACTTTACTCAGGGGTTCCATGAGAGCCGCTCCGACTCTGTCTATGGCAATTATGCGATGCATACTGAGAAACTGTTTCAAAGATGGGTGCACAACTTTTTGGCATATGACTAGATCTATGTGATCACTAACTAGCTGCCCTCCTAGGTTAAGCAACTGGTCCAGGACTGCATTTTCAAGAGAAACCCCAGAACTGACCACTATAGTTCCTTCTCCAGTGTCAGAGAGATCTCCAGATAAAGATGCACAGAAGAGTGCCACCTTGAAGGTGTCTGATTTTTTGATAGGTAAGATCTTCATCAATTGAACTTCTGATATTTCAAGAAGTATTCCAGGTAATACAGTAGAATCTGTAACTCTTTGACCTTTTAAAGGCACAATTATACTCTTTCCTAAAAGGAGGCAGTCTTTGGTGTTTTCTGGAATTGTAAGCAAAAAGGCTCTCAGAATCAAAGCACTGATATGGTCTATTTCCTGTCTGGTGAGCATGCAGGCAGGTTTACTTGTTACTATACTGCGCACCAGGCAAAGGAGGGTCTGAGTACTACTGAAGTCGACTAGAATTCGACAACCACAGAACTCAGACTGGAGGTAGCTGGTGCAGAGGCTCAAAAGATGCTTATTTAATTTGATAACAGTGGTGGGCATCAAGCCTATTCTCTGATCATTTTCAATCAGATTGCAGCAAAGAATGGCTGTGAATAAGCCACAGTCACTGAAGCACGACACATGATTCTGCATGGATGTTGTTAGGATCTTTAAGATGGGATGGGTGACGGAAAGGTTAGCGAGCAGGGCTGATGACTGTGAGGTTGTGCACACACAGCCCCCGAGGCCATTGTGCAGCTGCTTCAGCCTACCTGAAGGGCCATAGCTTGATGTTAGGATGCCTTTCAAGACACAAAGTGTGACCCTGACACTCTCACTTGTCAGTGGTTCACTTTTACAGAACGATGGCTTTTTAGCTTCTAAACGAGACATCTTACTTTGGGTGATAATTGGTGAGGATGGCTTTTATTTTGTCAACCATATTTTTCTGTTTATTGCATTGTCATGGGTTTTGACATTTAGAAAAAAAAATTATTCTTCAAGGAATGAAAGTCTTGAATATGCAGCACTGTGGCTATAAAATTAGCTCCAGGTTTATGAAGCTTATCATCATGGAATGACTTAATGACATAGTAATAATTCCAGGTATTTATTTTTCCTTCATTCTTCAATACTCATTTTGTTTGCCTCTAGATTGAGATTTTACAGATTGTTTTGCAGCCCTCTGTATAAAGTATGTTCCAAGATGGACACTTATGAAAGACACCCCAGCTATAAGAAGCCAGTTCTTTCTAATCCAGCTGGTGTTTTTCATCTTCTTTCAATATGAAGCTCAGATTCAAAGATACTTCTTTCTATAAGAAATAAAAGTAAAACATTTTAGAGAAATAATTCCAAAATATTTAATAGAATGCAGTTTACTATATTGACACTCTGCTCCCTCTTTAGAAAAAGGAATTATCAACTGGCACAAGCCTCCAGAAAATGAAAAATGTAAATCCACTTAGACTAAGCATTCACTCCTTTGTTCCTCAATGAATCCCTCCAAGAAAAAGTACTGATATTTGAATGATTTTGGAATGCAAAACAACATAATAGCTAGAAAGCTTACAGTAGTTATTTGAGTATGACATGCTTCTAGAAAAGAAATGCTATATTATGAAACTCATTATAAAATTCTGAGTCTTAAAAAAAAAAACCCAAATGTTTTTATTCTTTTACATCAAGATTTAATGTTATGTTTTTTCTATAACTCTGGAAACCTTAGGTCTAAACATAGATACACTAGGGGCGCCTGGGTGGCGCAGTCGGTTAAGCGTCCGACTTCAGCCAGGTCACGATCTCGTGGTCCGTGAGTTCGAGCCCCGCGTCGGGCTCTGGGCTGATGGCTCAGAGCCTGGAGCCTGTTTCCGATTCTGTGTCTCCCTCTCTCTCTGCCCCTCGCCCGTTCATGCTCTGTCTCTCTCTGTCCCCAAAATAAATAAACGTTGAAAAAAAAAATTAAAAAAAAAAAAATAAACATAGATACACTTACATCAAATCCTGCTTATAAATAATTATGAAATATGGTAACTGTTAGGTCTCCCAAATGTAGACCCACTTTTTAATGTACAGTCTAGCTCTAGCTGTATAAATCTGCACAGCACATTGTACCAAAGAATAAACCATGTTTTCAATGTTTGACTAAAGTCAGAGCTAATTTTTTGTAGTTTCATTCTCTCAATTAATGATTGTCAGTTTTGATGTCCTACCATAATCCTCTCCAAGACTTTGGTTAATGACAGTAAGTACAAAAATCAGGGAATATGCTGTTTGACAAAGAGAAAGACAGGATCTGATTTGCAATTTCTATCTCCAAGGGTCTGAATACCATAAAATATTATAACAAGTGTACTTGCACTTGTACTAGCTTCCTTAACAAGGTTGTAAATAAGTAGCATGCCTTGTAGCATAAAATCCTGACACTTTAATAACATGTGAAAAAAATAAAAATTTCAGGTCATGGACCTTGTCTGTTGAGGTTTGGTGCTTTGAAGGTGAAAGTTCAGCCAATTATTATTTTCAGGAATATGTTAATTATGCCAATCACTTGGACAGTATTTAGCATAAATAAAACTAATTGGACTACCTCACTACAGGACTACCTGAAGCAGACGATGGCATAGTGTGCTATAGACTGAGAAGGTGGTGTGAAGATGTGCAAAGAAGAGGTGAAGAGGAGGAGGGGATGTTATTCAGTGTTATTTCGGTTACCACTCCTCCCCATTTAAAGGACTGTAACCATGGCAACTGGGCCCAACTAAAGAGAAGGCAATGATGGCTAGTTTTCTCCCTGCAATAAACTACAGTTATCCTTTTTTACAAGACGAGGAAAAAAATTTTTCATCTTATGCCAAGAACAGCCAAGGTACTTAAATATTATTTTAATGGTTATTTTAGATTCAGCAAAATCTGTGACATACATTTAAACAAAACCTTAGTGAAGTGACTTCTATACATTATTTTATACTTTGTGACACATACTCACACCAAAACACAAATCATAATAGAAAACTGTGATCGATAAAATGGTTTCTCCAGTTCAAAAAACATTTCAATACATAACAGTGACATGTAACATTTCAAAAGCAGAATGCCACATCAGCACCTCTAAGAGTCTTGGGTAGTGAGACCAGTAACCACATCTTTTGGCTAGTATCTCTATAAAATCTACAAAATCAAAGAAGAAATCATTGAAAGTATTGGTGACTCCCAAATCATTTTTAGGATGTCAAAACTTTCTGACTTGTGAGTCTAGATCCAGACAAAGCAAGGTACAACTGAAAGAAAAGAAATGAAATGGCTTATAGAATATGTGTGGAAATGTCAGTTTAGATCTATTAGAACTCTTTCTCCTGACACTATGACCCGTATTTCCAAAGGCTACCATCACATGAACAGCTCTGACTTCCTGGATGCATAGGCCTGCCAGATGGGCTTTTGCAGTAACAGATAATTTAATTAAAATAATAATAAAATTGGGGCACATGGGTGGCTCAATTGGTTGAGCATCTGACTTCAGCTTGTCATGATCTCACAGTTTGTGAGTTCGAGCCCTGTGTCGGGTTATGTGCTGACAGCTCAGAGCCTGGAGCCTGCTTCTGATTCTGCCCTGCTCACACACTCACTCTCTCTCAAGGATAAAAAAACATTAAAAAAAAAAATAAAACTTACATGACTGTATTCCAAATTTAGACATACACTATAAATTGTGATTTAAAGAGATATAAACAGGTAAAATTTTCTCCCATCAGGGTTCCTGGGAGAAATGGCTGATTCTAGGTCTGAGGCAAAAAATATACAAGATGAACTGAGGTTTTTTTTTTTTTTTTTTTTTTTTTTTTTTTTACCTAAGAGTAATATACTTGGGTCATATTAGAGAACACAGGAGAGGGGCACCTGGGTGGCTCAGTCAGTTAAACATCCAACTTCGGCTCAGGTCATGATCGCACAGCTGCTGAGTTGGGAGTCCTGCATCAGGCTCTCCGCTGACAACTCAGAGCCTGGAGCCTGCTTCAGATTCTGTGACTCCCTCTCTCTCTGCCCCTCCTCTACCCATGCTCGCGCGTGCTCTCTCTCTCAAAAGTAAATAAACATTAAAAAAAAGGGGGAGGGGGCGCCTGGGTGGCTCAGTCGGTTGAGCATCCAACTTCGGCTCAGGTCAGGATCTCGCAGTTTGTGAGTTCGAGCCCGGCGTCAGGCTCTGTGCTGACAGCTCAGAGCCTGGAGCCTGTTTCAGATTCTGTATCTCCCTCTCTCTGCCCCTTCCCTGCTCATGCTCTATCTCTCCCTGTCTCTCATAAATGAATAAATGTTAAAAAATTAAAAAAAAAAAAGGCACAGGAGAAAAACAGACATAGGACTCAACATGAAGGGCATCCAAGATGGGACAATTTGAGTATTAAAAAGAATATTGATAGTAATAGCTTGAGATAATTCAAGTAATATGTAAACTCATGAATTCATATTGTCATCAAAAACAAAAACCCTCATTGCTGTTAGGGCACAAATTTACTTTTATAAAAACTCATAGATGGAAATAAGCATTTATCTTGCTTTTCCTGATAAATGCATTTTGAGGGAAAACTGAATACTTGATGAGGTAAAGTTGTTCCAGCTCAAAAATAGAGAAGCAATGATAGAATTTGAGCAACATCATTTTGCAACTCGTAAGGAAATAATGTATTAGACTATTGTGGTGGTTGGCAAATTACAGCCCATGGGCCACATCCAGCCTGCTATTTTTGTAAATAAAATCTTGGCTCATGCTCGTGTATCATGTATGAATGCTTTTGTGCTACAATAGATAGTTGAATAGTTGAAACAGAGACTGTATGGTCTGCAAAGCCTAAAATATTTACTATATGGTCATTTATAGAAAAAAAGTTTGCCAATTCCTAGATCAGAGCAATGATCATGAATTTTTTTTAAATTTTTTTTCCCCAACGTTTATTTATTTTTGGGACAGAGAGAGACAGAGCATGAACGGGGAGGGGCAGAGAGAGAGGGAGACACAGAATCAGAAACAGGCTCCAGGCTCCGAGCCATCAGCCCAGAGCCCGACGCGGGGCTCGAACTCACGGACCGCGAGATCGTGACCTGGCTGAAGTCGGACGCTTAACCGACTGCGCCACCCAGGCGCCCCGGTCATAAATTTTATAATAGATCTTATAATGGAGAGATCAGACTGATAATGCACTTTAATCTTAGCAACACTGAAAGTGGATCAGACAGTATATGTGAAACAATGTGATTTTACTAGAATGTCTACCATAGCACATCCATGAAGTATTCTTTTTCAAAGAAAAAAAGAAAGTAAAAGCAGGCCTTCTGATCTAACTACCAGATTATAGGAGATATGGGAGAGTTAGAAACTTGTTAAATGACAAAATGAGGACTCAGTCAACCAAATTCAGAATGTGGGGCATTCAAAAGAGGCAGATTGGGAAGGGAAATGGAGTGGCTGAAAAGAGACATATCTATCAAATACAATGTGTGGACCTTATCTGAATTCTAATTCCAACAAACCACCTGTAAAATGAGATTTTTTAAAAGACAAATTGGAAATCTGAACATGGCCCTGAGTATCCAATGGTAGTAAAGACTAACCATTAACTTTTTCAGTGTGATAACGCACTTGTGGTTGTATGTGTCTTAATCTTTAATGTTAAAGAGACATACTGAAGCTTGGGACTTGCTTTAAAATATTTAAAATATCAAAAAGGGGGTGAGGACAGAAAGATAGATAAAATAAAACTAGCAAAATGTTGTTAAGTATGAAAGCTGGGTGATGGATACTAGAGAGTTGAATATACTATTCTCTATTTTGGGGTATGTTTGCAATTTGCTATAATAAAAATAGAAATTAAAAAAATAATATGGGACAAATAACAGCACATTATTTTGATAGGATCAATGTTTAATTCATTCTAAATGTTTTTGGTTTTTTTTTTTAGATTTTATTTTTAAGTAATCTCTATACCAACATGGGGCTCAAACCCACAATCCCAGGTTCAAGAGTCACATGCTCTACCAACTGAGCTAGCCAGGTGCCCCTAAATCTGGTTTTAACATTGCTCACCCTAAACCTGTTTTAATATCTGTTTCTGCTTCCTTGACTGGCATTGTTGGTCTCTCTGAAACTTCTAACTACTGCAGCAATGACATCCAAATCTCTCACTGTATTTACCTTAATGCTGTAGAGGAGATGTTTTCTTTTCTCAACTTTACTTTCCAAGAATACCTCAATTAATAATATTCCTTGTATTTCTTTTCACAGAAGGAGAAAATACTTTCTTTTTTTTTTTCAAAATTTGGCTATTGCAGACCCCCAATCTCTTATGACAAGAATTAAAGGGAAAAAAAAAATGTCATAAGTAATACACATACACACACACGCACGTGCGCACACACACACATTCTGTCTCTCTAATGATCTCATTACAGTCTGGAAGAGTTTACAGATAAAAATCAAGCATCTAATAAACTCTTTAACTCCCTGCTGCTCATGTCCACTAAAACTCCCTTTATAAAAAGAAATCTTACATCTTTTTTTTTTTTTAAATTTTTTTTTTCAACGTTTATTTATTTTTGGGACAGAGAGAGACAGAGCATGAACGGGGGAGGGGCAGAGAGAGAGGGAGACACAGAATCGGAAACAGGCTCCAGGCTCCGAGCCATCAGCCCAGAGCCTGACGCGGGACTCGAACTCACGGACCGCGAGATCGTGACCTGGCTGAAGTCGGACGCTTAACCGACTGCGCCACCCAGGCGCCCCTCTTACATCTTTTATAAATACAAATCTTACACAGAATGTCTTAAGGTTATTCTTTTAAGTCATTAAGCTTCTGATATTTTATTACCTGTTTTTTTGTGTTAAATAATTGTCTACTACGTTAAGCTACCCTCTTCCCTTTCTCTTTATGAGCATTTATAAATAAAATCTTGATTTAAAATAATGTAATTTTGGGGGGCACCTGGGTAGCTCAGTCAGTTGAGAGTCTGATTCTTGATCTTAGCTCAGGTCTTGATCTCAGGGTCGTGAGATCAAGCCCTGCATTGGGCTCCTCACTGGATGTGAAACCTACTTAACAACAACAAAAAATAATGATGTAATCAGAAATTACATTACAGTTTTATCAGAAGTCAAAATTACAGACCTCTTAAGAATGTGGAAAATCACAGAGGTTGTCCTTCTATAAGAAGCAGACCCTAAATTGACCTAGCTTATGCCAAAATTAAAAGCACATTATTACTCATCTGATGGTCATAAAGGTATATTAAGATAGAAAATGGTCCATAATTATAGGGCCACAGTTCTCCATCTGGGGCCAGATCAGTTTCATAATTCAGGGTTTCTTGAATTTTAGAAAAATAATACAGCATCTAGCACCTATAACCAAAATAATATAGTGTTTAATACCCATAAGCAATATAATCATAATGCTCATAATCAAACACAACAGTATTTCTGCAGTAAAACTAATCATATTGAGTGGAATAAAGACTGTAAACTGACTCATGTCAGCTAAGATTAAGTTTTGCTACCAAAGGAGTTATAACAAAACTTTTTGGATTTTAGAACTTATTGGATTTTGGAATTATAGTTAAGAGATTATAATCTTGAATTATGTAACTATATCTTCTTATTTCGGCGACTCTCAAAAGTAACATTACTTCGAAGCTAAAATATTAGATACTAAAAATATTAGATACTAAAGAAAGAGTATGTGGCGTTTTATTAGCTCAATTGGTTAACCATCTAACTCTTGATTTCAGCTCAGGTCATGATCTCATGGTTCGTGGGATTGAGCCTCATATGCTGGGC